TCACTGTACAACCTCTACAGGACCCTGTGACACAAAGCTCTGTGGTACAATCCCAAGGCGGTCCCACCTGCACACACCTGCCAACTCCCAGACATCCTTAGTTTAGAGGGCAGCAAATATCCTCAGGGAAAAACAGAAAAGTTGGTGGAGACAGAGGGTCAGGACAACTTTCTGGTCTTTCTGGAGGTGTGCCCCCTCCCCAAGTCTAATTATTCATTTTCACTGTGGTAAAATATACAGAAAAGTTACATTTTAACCACTGTGCAGTTCAGTGGCCAAATCCATTTTCAAATTTTAGAATCTGAAAAGTCTCATTATTGGGAGTGGCTCAAACCTGTCTAGCAAGTGCAAGGCCCTAAGTTCAAAGCCCAGTACTGCCAAAACCAAAAAACAACATCGAAAACTTCCCTGAGGATCAATGTATACCACAAAGATGCAATGAGCTGGCAGAAGCCTGAACAGCTTCTGTGCACAGCTCACTGCTCTCAAGACTCTCCCATCTGAAAGGTTCTTAAGGTACAATCAATCAGAAACTGATACCTGTGAGTTCTGCCTGGTCCGGAGCCTGGTCATCAGCACCACTCTCTGCATCTTGTGCATAATCACTGTTAACAGCTAGGCTCAAAGCATTTTCTTGAAGTCGCTGCTGCTTTCTCTCTTGCCTTTCTTTCAAGATAATCTTTAAAATTAAACAAGTGACAAACCTAAAGATCTGTACCTAAAAGATAAGCTCTTCTGAAAAATAAACTGTCTACGTTCATTTTGTTGACTGAACTTGGTCATACCTTTGCAGTGGGGACATGCTCACATTCCCTGGGGACTAGCCCAAGTCCCCTCCTCCCCCCAGTATGAGAGTAGCATGGTCCCCCCCGGGGATGCAAAGCAGGTACACAGAGCCCCAGCTCTGAAGCTAATTCTGCAGCTCAACAGTCACCCAAACACAGGCATCTCAACGGACATGGAGCACAGGCACCACAAAAGAGCACATGTGACCATCCTAACAGAAGGTCAGAGCAGAAGTGTTCAACAGTCACTGACTGAACACCATATAGATCAGCCTGGGGAAGTGAGGCAGAATGTGTAAACGAGGAGTATCACTCCCCACTTTCTGGTTTTCTATGCATGTTCCTGCAAAGTAAGAAAAAGGAAGAAAATATTTTCCTTTCACAGAGCTGAAGCCATCCCAGCTTCATACACTCTAGCGCAGTGTTGGGAAAGCCAGGGCTCACTTATTAGCAAAGCATGAACACACTGTACAACATGTTCAAGTAATTTAAACTTTGTTTCTTTTTGAGACAGGGTCTTACTGTATAGCCTAGGCTGGCCTTGAATTTCGATTCTCCTGCCTTCCAAGTGTTGGGATTATAGCATGTGCCACCAAGCCCAGCTCAAATAATAATTAACCTTAAAAACTAAAGATGTAAGAGCCTGGAAGAAGTCAATATAGATCTGTGAAATTTTATCCATTTCCCAGTGCCTTGTTTCCACAGGAACATTCCACACACCTTTTTCAGTGAAGTGGGCTTCTTGGCTTTGGGGACCTCCCGCTGCTTCCCCTTCTTCACCAGGGGGGCGCTAGAGTCCAGGGGGTTGTGTGGGGTCTTCACCTGATTGAAGCGGCGGCACCGCTCCCCTGAGGATGCTTCTTTGGAAAGGACTGGCACCGCTCCAACTGCAACACAGTGGGACGCACGCCACTCCCAGTCAGACCCCACAACCTTTCTCATCTTTGTCAAGCAATCTTTGACCCATTCTTTCCACTGGCAGTGATTCTAAATGAAATTCACTCTTTTGGACAGGATCCCAAAATATAGCCATTAATCCACATTAACCCATGTATAGATAACCTTCTACCCATAGAACCCAATCTATGGTTTCTTAATGAAGTCCAGTAAGGTATAGATCATTTTTTTGACTTGGTATTTCTAGGTAGTCTGCACTTACCATTGTTACTGGGAACCAGTCCCCTTCCACTACATGGTCAGCTGGCACTGCCTTTGCAAAAGCTGGCTATTGGTTTCTGTACATGTGTCTTCAGCTCATATTACTTGACCTTATAAAGCTCTAGCAGTATTTCTATTTGATTCTCGAGTTTTTCAGACATAAACAGGTTGACCCAATCCCACCATGAGTAGTTGAGAATAATTTATCCACAGTCAGTGAATTACTGTGATTACTACTGAATACTTTAGTATAACTCTCCTGTTCTACCTCACTTCCTGTCCCAGTAACTGTTTCAAATCAATAGTTAACTCCTATGTACCACTCCCTACTCTTCTTATGAGACTGGTTCTCATATGTATCCCTGACTGACCTTGAACTCATTATTCTCCTGACTTAGCCTCCCAAGTGATGGGATTACAGATGTGCACCCAGTCCCCCCACTTTTCAGTTAGGAAAATTTCCAAACATGCACCAAAGAAAAAGAGACTGGTAAGTAACGAGTCCCCATGTACATTTCACCCTGCTTCAACAACTATCTGTGGTTTTCCAAATGTATTTTAGCCACCCTCCTTTAATTATGGAATATGATTTTTTTAAAATGTAAGTTTCATAATTCAGTTTTGCTCATTCCATCTCACCTGTGCAATTTCCTGCTTCAGTGCAAAACATTTCATTTATACAAGTTGTCCAAGACAACACTGTCTTCCAGGTTGCTTCTTGCCTTAGTTACAGCACAACTGCTCATATCTGCAGGTCCTTATTCCCCCACAGTGTTTGAAACTTATATGTGACTGGCTCAGTCCGTGCTCAGAACTGCTCCTTCACCTGGTACCCAATGCCACCACCAAATTCAGCCCCTTACACCTGCTCATACAAAACTTGCCTCCAGACCCTCAGTTCCGCAGTCACTACATCCCACTGCCAGGCAGCTCTTAAGAAGTATTACCACGAACACCATGCAACAAGACGTTTCCTGAAGACTCCTCAGGCGGCTAATTGTATCCTTTTTTGCGGGGACTGGGATTTGAATTCATGGCTTTGTGCTTGTAAAGCAGGCACTCTACTGCTTGAGCCACACCTCCAGTTCATTTTGCTCTGGTTATTTTTTGGAGAGGGGGTCTCCAGAACTATTTGCTTGGGCCTCCTACTTCAATCCTCCCAATCTCAACCTCCCAAGAAGGTAGTATTACAGGTATGAGCCATTAGCACTTGGCTTACTTGCATCCTTTGTAACAAACCACTACTCCAGTAATCAAACTGTTTTTCAGCATTCTGTGAGCCCTTCTAACAAATTATCAAACCTGAGGAGGGGGTCTTGGGAACCCCTAATTTTAGCTGATTAGTCATAAGCAAAGCGGCAACTTAGACTTGTGATTGCCTCTCTTGTGGGGACCAAGCCCTCACAGACTGGAGTCAGCTGCTAACTCTGAGCGGTTTGTGTCAACCTCGAGCAAAAGAATGAACAGCCAGTGTGTGCTGATGATGAAGGGAAGTTGAATCGGTGCATGGAAAACCACACATATCTGGTGTCAGAAATGAAGTTTGTGTTTCAGTGTTTTTCCTTTAACAAGAAATAATTATTAATATAGGTTGAATATCCCTCGTCTGAAATGCCTGGGAACAGAAGTGATTTAGACTCCAGACTTTTTGGATTTTGGAATTTTGCACAGATTTTACCTTGTTGTAGGATGACAGCAGGGTGATTTAGTTTTTTTTAAAAAAGTTACTACAAGAGATACACAATGAGGCATTAATTGTTGAAATGACATATTACCCATAATTTGCTTTAAAATACTCGAGGGAATAAAAGTAGGGCTACAGATGAAACAAGACTGGCCAAATAGTAAACACTGGAGCTGGGTAATGGGCAGATGGAAGGGTTCATCATATTCCCTATATTTTGGACTATAAAAAAATTTCCATAATATAAAAAAGTGAAAAGCAAAGACAAGACAAAACTTTCCATGGGGTGCTCTTTAAAATGCTGACTCCCTGATCCCATTCTGAGTCATTCTAAGAGTAAATCTGAGGTTTGCTTGAAATCTGGTTTCTGCAACACCCAGCTGGTGCCCACTGCTGGCAGTCCTGGGAACATGGGGTACAAAAAGAGGCACTGGTTTCAAGAATACGCTGTCTATTGGTGCCTCACCCACTACAGTGTAGTGCTCCAGGCTTTTACTAAAGATGACTGTAAAACAGTCACATAAAACTTACTTCTACATTAGCCACAGGAAGGCTACTTAGGTCACTAAATCATTCAGCAGCTCATATAAAATGACCAATCAGAGAAATCACATTTAAATTTTTAGCCTCAAAAAAACCTACCCCATCAGAGAGGCTAAAATTAGAATGCCTAACACCACTAAATTAAGGTGAGTATGTAGTTGCCAGAATCTTAATACACTATTGGCCAGACTGTAAAATAGTACAAAGCAGTTTGGAAATGATGGCAATTTTATAAACTAAATACCTACCCACAAGTCACAGTATTTCCATTCCTAAAAACAGATACTCAAATAAATACATGTACAAGAATATTCATAGCAGTACTATTCACAACAGCCAAAAAGTAAAAACAATTCAAACATCTAATAATCAACAGAGAAGATGCAAGAGGTCACCTAGTAAGACTTTATGAACTCAGGTTCTCCTAAGAAACCACATCTATATTCAAGAGTTTACAGACTTGATTGTGGAGAGATGGAATGTTGCAGATAAAGAAACCAAAGTTTATCTTGGGGTTTGCTAGTCCCTTTTAATTGTCATTTACTACCAACCTCTATATCTGACCTAGCTTTATTGTGACTACTAGATAAAACTCTTGGGATATATGCTAAGTTAGCTAGACTTCTGGCCTCCACCAACCCTAAAGATAAAATGTAATTACAACTGAATTCTGTAGTTCTGCCTTGTTGAAGACAGCATCGGAATCCTCTAAGATTTCCTCACCTTGCTAAAGATAACATTTAAATCCTACAGAAGACATGTCCCTGCTTCTCTGTGGTCTCCTACTTTTGTGACTGAGAAAGCTTACGTAACCTCCTTTACAAAGGAACCACTTCCTTCAGCTTAACTTGAGTTTGTGTTCCTGGGGCACTACTGCTCATATTTAACTCAGAGTAACTGTTCTGTTATCTCAGGTGTAATTTTACATCAACAACTCCATTTATATAAAATATCAGATGGAAAGCTTAGTGGGCATAGGATTTTCTTTTGGGCAATGAAATATTCTGGAACTAAACAGATGGGGTGGTCTAACAACACTGTGAATGTGCTCAATGCCATTAAAAGTTGTACACTTTAAGATGATTAAGCTACATGAATTCTACCTTAATAAAAGGAAATGACAAATAGATAAACAATAAATCTTAAAAATACCATGTTAAAAGAAGTCACACACAAAGGAGCACATACTGTAAGACTGGTTCTAATCATAGGATGATCTAGACCAGGAAAAGCTTTCTACGACAGATGATCTGCCTAGGGTGGCAGCAGGAATGGGCCAGGCAGGAAAGGGCCTGGGGAAACTTCAAGGGTGTTCTTCATAACTAGGGGTTTGGGTCACGGAGAATGATGCACTTGCCAAAAGACTTCAAATGGTGCAATTAAAAATCTGTGCATTTTGGGACCAAGGGAGTAGCTCAGAGGTAGAATGTGGGAGTCAGCATATACAAGGTCTTGGGTTTGATCCCCAGTACACACACACACACACACACACACACACCATACACATGCACGCACGCAAACATACGCATGCACACCCCACAGGCACACACACTCACATGCACCACGCACACGCACCCCCACACCTCCCCACACGCACTCACACCACGCACACCCCACACGCACACGCACGCACACATCACACACTCACCACACCCCCACCACACACACACGCGCACACACGCCACATACCACTGCACACACGCAACACCACACGCGCACACACACATGCACATACACACGCACACACACATGTGCGCATTATGTTATAGGCCTACATTACATCAAAAAATAAATATCACATAAATAAACACTGAACTCTAGCTAATGATATGCAGGCTGTGCTTATGGGTAAAATACCATGAAGTCCACAACTTCACTTTGAAGTGCATCAGAAAAATAAAACATATTGCTGGATGGATAAATCAGCGTCAGCAAACTTTTCTTTATAAGGATAGATGGTTAATATTTTGGCTAATGAGCAACTGTCTGTGGCAGTAGTAGAATTAATTACCACATTACAATGCAAAGGCAACCAGACAATCCTAAAACAAATGGTGTTGGCTAAGTTCCAATAAAACTCTTATCAACAAAGCCAGGGACTGGTGGGCCAGAGTTTGCTGCCCTGACGAAGTTATGCAATACAGCAAACACAGCTAATTATTGTACAGTCTAGTGAGTACATGAATGTTCACTGTACAATTTATTTGGGTTTTCTGGACACTTGAAAATTTTCAAAAGACAAAAAATCCCAACTCTCCTGAAGAGACAGAACAAGTTAATTCTTTTTGGGATTAGCATCATAAAACCTGGCATATTTCCCTTTTTACTGACTACCAGGAACCTCAAAGACAAAAGGAAACCCAAGCAAATACAATGTGTAAAAAGTTTCTTTACTAATTTCTTTGGGTGCCTATGTTCTCATTTTTAAAAAATAAAGTGTTTCATAAAACTCTAACTTTGCCTCTGACCAAGATCCTCTTAACGTCTGCTTCTGGTAGCTGGGATTACAAGCACGAACTACTACCACATTCTGCCTTTTTATATTTTTTTGAGACAGGGTCTCACTACATAGCCCAGGTCGGCCTTGGGAGGTGAACACAGGAGGATTTCAAGTTCAAAGCAATCCTCCTGCCTCCACCTCCCAGGTGGTAAGATTACAGGAGTCAGCCAGTTGTCTTTTTTGGAGAACTGTGTTTTTAAGAACTTTGCTTCTATTTAGATTGTCTTTTTTGTTGTTGTTGCACTATAGGTGTGCTTATAAATTTGAATATTTAACTCCTACAGAGATATGATTTACAAGTATTTTCTTCCATTATATAAGTTATCATTTCACTTTCTTGACAATGTCCTTTGGTATACACAAAGTCTAATTTTGATGAAGTTCAATTTCTTTGTTGCTTATGCCTTTAGTGCATAAAAATCTAAAAATCTATTCTCTAATCTAAGGTCATGAAGATTTAACCATTTACTTGTAAAAAAGTTTTATAATTTTAGCTCTTATACTAAGCTCACATCCATTTTGAGTTCATTTCATCTATAGTGGTGAGGCAAGTGTCTGACTTTACTCTTTCACATCTGGAAATATCACTGTTTCAGCATCTTTCTGAAGGGAATATTTGTTCTTTTAATGAACTTGGCACCCTTGTCAAACTCAATTGGCTATAGACATTCAGGTTTATTTCTGGACTCTCCATCATACTATGTTTGTTCATGTGTGCTTATTCCAGTAGTACACTGTGTGGTTATATATAAATAACTTTTGATTACAAGAGAAAATATTTACAAAATAGTATCTCTGAAATCATTGTGAGACCTTGCTGAGATGACGTGACTCTTACCTGAGAACACAACTGGTCTAGAGGACTGCTTGGCATGCTGCTGCTTCTCCAGTGCTGCCAGCATGCCTCCCAAATCCAGCTGCACTGGAATCTGGCTCTTCTTTCCACTATTTTTAAAGTTACTCTACAAAGTTCAAAAATCACAAGTCTACTTAAAATACTATATTTTATACACTGAGCTTTTCATTTTACAAAAAAACGCATATAAATATATGTACAGACTTAAGACTATAAAAAACTTATCAATTTTTTAAAATCAAGTAATTAAAAAAAATCACTCCCATGCTATCTGCCAACATTACCATGGTTACATCCTTCTCAATTCTGGGCTTATAGCATCTCCTACATTTCTATCCGTATCTCCATTGTGTGTTAATAGCATACATTGACATACAAAACATCAAGGCTTATAAGTCTGTGAGTGATGCTACTTGGTTAGAATTACTACCTCATTAGCACCATCCTCTCTCCAACTGCCTAAGTGAGCCAACAAACTGTCATGAAATTATTGGGACAGGACCAAAAGTCTATAAAGGCCCAAATCATACCTGCAAATGAATGCTAAATATAAGCCTCTATTATTTTTCTAGGCAAATGTTTTTGAAACAGTTGTGATTGGAGTTTTGAGACTATGTGAAGAGATGAAAGCCCTGTCCACTGTCTTACCACGTGTTCTCCTCCCATTTAACAACCCTGCTGGCTGAGGGTTTGTATCAGGGACAACTCCAAGTGCAACAAAGCAGCAAGGAGACCTGTTGCAGGGAAGGAGAATAAGCAAACTCTAACATGTGAAATGAAATCAAAGATAATTCTCATGGGGTTTAGAATTTCAGTTTTTATAGAATTTGCTGGAGAACAAATACTCCAAAGTATGCAAGTTCCCTGTCTAAATTATGACTCACAACTCCATGCTGAGTCTACAAGCTCAGGCTCAAGAATCACATCCCCTTTGCTTCTGTACTGACTGCTTAGACTGAAAATTTGTTGCCTCTCATTTTTCTTCTGTAACACAATACTGCTCTGTACAAAATACTGCCTCAAAAAGGAACTGTTCCTGAATAAATGAAGTCAACTTTTTCTTTAACGTTTCATAAGATAGTTTCCCTCCTTTCTGACACAGCAACAGCAGTTACCAACAGTCTCAATACAAAAAGGACAAAACATTTTAGCTCAGAAGCAATTCTGCCTCAACAAACCTGAGGCAGTTATCACAAGGAGGAATAAATCAAAACAAAATAAAACCACCCATCTCAGCTCAGAGCCATTTGGTAAGTAGGTATTTTCAAGAGTTTAGTTTAGCAAGAAAAGTTAAGCCTAAAGCAACTGTGGTAGCAATCTAAAAATTACCTGTGGCTGCTGTTTAGACTGAAATTTCGGTGACTCTATTCTGTCTCTTCTTTCAGATGCAACTGCCAGATTGGGAAATTCCTCGGTATCCTAAGTAAACCATACACCCTTTAGCTCTTCATTCATGAGGAGAATGTAAATATGTCAAGGGCAACTTTCCCTGCTCATATTTCTTTCTTTAATATGACTGACCCACCAAGATCTCAAATGTGATACAAATACCCCCAAAACACTAACATAAGAGCTTCCGCTTTATTTAACTCACAGAGCAAATAGAACATAGTTCTATTACCTGTTCCAGAAAAAGAGAGGGCAAACCACCAAGTATCGTGGTACACCCCAGTGGTCTATAAAACAGACCTTGAACCATGGTAGCATAAGACTACCCAAAAATCTGCTATTTAAAAGATTGTTTTCCATTAGAAAAATCATCAAATCTAGATTCAATAATTTAAGCGTTCTAGGATTTATGCTAAGAGACAAAGACAATAAGCCAGTTTAAATTTTCTTTTTTTTTTAATCACTTAAAACTATCTTAGGGCCAGGAGTTGGTGGCTCACACCTGTGATCCTAGCTACTTAGGAGGCAGAGATCAGGAGGGTTGAGGATCAAAACCAGGCTGGGCAAATAGTTCATGGGACCCTATCTCAAAAAACACTTCACAAAAAAAAAAAGGGCTGGTGGAGTGAGTCAAGGTGAAAGCCCTGAGTTCAAGCCCCAGTACTGCCAAAAAAAAGAAAAAGAAGAAAATTATCTTAGGGCCAGGTGCCAGTGGCTTATGCCTGTAATCCTAACTACTTGTAAGTCTGAGATCAGTAGGATCAAGGCTCCAGACCTTCCTGGGCAAAAAGTTCTCGAGACCCAATCTCAGCAGAAAAAGCTGGGCATAGTGGCATGTGCCTGTCATCCCAGCTATTGCGAGAAGCATTTAAAAAAATCCTGAGGTCATTTTGTCAATATTTTAGGTACCATGGGGAAAGTGACATGGGAAGAAAGGGAGAGACCATGAACTATTCACTGGCACAACCATTATTTCTTTGCCACAGTAGGTCTTCAAATGGGTAATCACTTTCTTGAATGGATATTGCAAGAGCCTTGGAAACCACCCGCCCTGGTTTGTGGGAATGTCCTAGGATGGACCCTATAATGGACTCCTGGGCAGCACTTCTGGGACACTCTTGTGCCTACATAAGCAGCCAGGAGCCTGAGTCTGGTAAAGAAGTGTAAAAAAGCTGACCAGACTGATGAGAAATGTAGTCAGACTCTGGCTGTCTTAGAGTGCGTACTGTACGCACTTCTGAAACAATCACAGGTCACTTTTAGAAGGAGGTTTATGGAATTCTTGTAGCCAGTCTACAATAAATCTATGGCATTCTAAACCTCTATGGTGCAGCACAAGTCACCTGGCTAGAAAAGGATGTCCTGCAAAAGCCAACGTTCTAAAGCAAGGAAAGCAACAGAGAAGAGAACGGAAGGAAATATGAGTAACACAGCATACCAACTATTACATTTCAATACAAGTAGCTTTGCTCTCGACCATTCATTCGTTCAAATGTTTACTGAGTGCCTGCCAAGAGACAGAAGGAAGCCAAAAGGAAAAGGTGAAGATAATGATAACTACTATTTTCTTCAGCACTAGGAAAGGATTATTGAAGAAAATGTTAGAGATTTTCACTTACGAAACCTGTATGAACCCACATGTTTACATATCACATAAAGTGAGTAATAAATATAAATATACTTCAATCCTTGGTGGCTCTTGAACTGTCAGGATTTCATAGTTTGTTACAGACTTTTCTTTCTTTTTCTTATTCTTTCTTGAGGCTTCATTTTGTTCAATGTCACCACCCTGTGATGTTTTGGGCTAAAACAACAAAAAAAAGCAAAAATCATGTGATTTTAGGGCATTCAATAGTATTAATAATGCCATATATTAGAACAAAATTAAGAAATTATGGTATCAAGTTGTACAATCTCAAGACAATTCCTTTTAAAGTTAGGCTCATCACTTATTTTTGAAAGCTCAAGCATTCAGTAGAATAATTCTAAAGGAAGCAAAATCTGGTGTAAGAGATGTAATGCTCAATTCCTTCTGAAAACTGGTGGACTGGACATGACCTAGTTATCACCTTAAGGAGATCAGGCTGTCATGATCCTACTAATCCAACCCGAGATCACTCATACATCCAGGTGTGCCACTTCTACCAGTGGAGCATGATGCCTGGTCCTAATCTGATTTGCCTGTGCATCAGAATCACCCTGAAGTCTCTAATCAGACACAAGCCTGATCCCCATGCTCAACTAACCTTGCCACTTGCACAGGCCCCTCAGCCCGGGCCCCTTTCTCAGTAAGGGCAGATGTACTTTTGGGCTCAGGGCTTTTGCAGTAAATACCCATTTGTGAGGGCTACAAAATGCTCACTCATTTACTAAAAATCACCTTATCTCTACTTAGCCCTTGTCTGCTGACCTTACTCATTTTTTTTTCTTTTCTTTTTTTTAATTTTAGCAACACTTTAATCTATTACACGAAAAATACTGTCCTTTCACCATACTAAAAACCTGCACTGCTCTGGCTTTTAAATTTGTATTAAGTGAAACTAAACATCCCGTCTGGAATCACCGGAGGCTTATTTCAAGGACTCAGTGACCACTGTGGCCGCCGATGCAGCCCCGGTGGAGGTTCCTGTCTTAGACCTCGCACAAAGGAGTAGTGCCCGACCCTGACCCGCACACGGACCCGCGGGAGAACCAGCCATCTGCACACAGACCCTCGGAGTGACCGGCCACCCACACACGGACCCTCAGGGAGACCCGGACGCCCCGCAAGCGGATCCTTGGAGGGACAGGCGGCCCCGCACATGGACACTAAGGACCCTCCCGCATCCGCCGAACCCCTCTGGGCACCGACATCCTCTCTCCGCTGCCAGGTGTCAACACCCCCGAGCCCGGAAGAGAGAACAGACAGGAGCCAGGCCCGCCTGCCACAAGCCCCGCAGCCCACAGCGCACCTGTCCCAGTCGGGGTCCCAGATGCCGAGCCCCGGCCGCACGCCACCAGACCAGCTGCGCAGCCCCGACGCACGCGGCTTGCCCACAGTGACTGCGGAGAAGCCATGCCGCCTTCATCTTTTTTTTTTTTTTCCTTTCCCCAAAGCACTCACCACTCTCTGACGTGATCGACATCTGTCTGTTAGTCTTTCTCCCTAGATCAGAATCTAAAAGAGACTTCTTAAATTTTGAGTTCTGCTTTGCCCAGAAGGAATTTACCCTTCAGGAATAAAAGATTCAGAAGCTATAAAAAGAATAAGCTTTCTCCCATGACCTGAAGGGACTGTTCATGGGACTCCGTTATGCGAAAAAGACAAATTTTAAGGGTGAAGTATACACAATATTTTATTTTAAAAAAGAGGCTGGGGTTATAGTTCAGTGGTAAAGCACAGCTTAGCATGTATGAAGCCCTGGGTTCCAAGGAAGGAAGGGAGAAGAAAAAGAAGCACCGAAAAACGAAACAGAGCCCCCTCTCAAACTGTTATAAATTTTTAATTTAAAGAGGTATGGGAGAAACAACTTTTCAATTGCTAAATGTTTGTAGCATTATATTTATCATTTCTGTAATAAAATTTCACAGTACAGAAAGTTTTAAAGGAAGAAGTCATTATGATAAGTATTGTTTGAAATGCGCAAAATGCAAAGCCATCTGGGTTTATAAAGATGACAAAAGATCTTAATTTTCTTCCTGTTAAGAATTTTTCTAAAACACTTCTCTTAAACTATAATCAAGAAAATGTTTTTTAAAAATGAATCTGGGACAAAAAAAAAAGTTAACTGTTAGAATATTAGCTACATATTAGAAAACTGGCTTGGACAGAAACTTCAGAGTTGGAACCAAAAACTAGACAGTGAGCAATTTTCTCGCCTGCACTTGGTTGCTTAGGAGCCGAGGACAGGCATGAGACCTGCCACCAACCACCACCCCATACCCCCAGAGCCAAGTTCTGTGAGCACACAGAAGGGAGGTCTCTACACAGAGTGGTGATAAATAAGCATGTCTCGCTCTGCTGTAGCTGTCCACATTTCACTTTTCCTTAGTCAAGGCATCATAAACACATACATACCTACCATTTACATGCAGCCACCATCACTCTCCACCTTCAGAGCTGTTTTTCTCTTACAAAACTGGAATTCTGTCCACATTAAACAGTAAATGCCAATGCCACTCCCCCCAGCCCCTGGCACACACAATCTTACTTCTTGTCTCTAGCGATGCATACCATCTTAGTAAGATGATCACGTTTCTCTTTGTTGTAGGAAGGATCCAAAGATAAAACTTCAGGTGTCATACTAACATTTTTAGGATCTGTTGATGAAGCAACCATCTTTAGGTTTATCATGGAAGTAACATTTTTAGGAGGTGGTGGTTGCTCTGAAGATAATGTCTGCCGAACAACGTAACCCATTGGTGTCCAAGATAACTCTGCTCAAAGATAACCAAAATTATAAAACAATCTCAACAGTAAAATAGAAATTACAGTTATTCAAACATGCATTACATGAGGTAACTGCTCAGAGCAAAACTAAACTATTGCCCAAAACATCCCCTTGGAAGCTACAGTACTCACTAAACTTGTTTTTCTTCTGGAAACATGCACACTAAATTTTTTCCCTTTAATTTGCAAGATTAATTGATTTTCCTACAAACTGGTTTTGTAACTTGGGTAGGGATAGGTGGGTAGACAAACAATAGTTTTGGTTAAAAAATAATGCACAACAACGTCCACATGGCAAACACATAGAATTAAAGAGCTAAAGATCAAATTTGGCCCTACTAACCTTGATTTGTACCTTTTAACATCAGAAGTCAAAGATCACTAGACTTCAGCTATCACAATAACTGGTAATTTATTTCTTTTAGAATACAGGCATAAGAACAACTACTCCTTAGGTGCCCATGAAACTCTATATACAGACAAAACAAAAGGACATCCATCAGGACATGGGCAAATGAACACCTGTCAGCAGCCTGTGGCTCCCCCATCAAGGGATTCATACTACTATAGACATATACATCCTTAGAGCAGCCTTGGAAATGAAGATCTATACTGAAGCACATACGTACCAAATATGGGAACATACAAGAAAACACACCAATGCAAACATTTGGGTTTTCTGTTAGGACAAGCAACTACAAAAATTCCAAAAGCAAGATGGGTGCCGGTGGCTCACGCCTGTCATCCTAGCTACTCAGGAGGCAGAGATCAGAAAGATTGAAGTTTGAAGCCAACCCGGGCAAATAGTTTGAGACACCCTATCTTGAAAAACCCTATCACAAAAAAATTGGGGCTTGTGGAATGGCTCAAGATGAAGACCCTGACTTTAAGCCCCAGTACAGCAAAAAGAAAAAATTTCTAAAGAAAAATCTACTAAAGTCTTTCTGAATATATTACTTTTTCACTTGGATTCTTTCAGAAGCCCTAAGTCAAAACTGTTTTCCTGACAGCAGAAATGCATCCACTGGCTTTCTCACTCTCCTGCTCTCTCATGAGTGTACCTTGGACTGTTTCAAAGGTTGTGTTGATGTCCAACACTGTGACTGCTAAAAGCTGAAGCAGATCTACAGTGCCACATGTTAAAAAGTTGCAAAATTGTAAAGCAAGGCTGCTTTCATTATAGTTTTTAAACTCTGGAGTATGTTATTTTTCATAAAAATAGGCTATGTTCAAAAGTAACACATTTATGATTTTTAAGCATTTTAAAAATTGTTTTAACTTTGGGGATGGGGTATGCCTCAAGGGGTAGAATGCCTGCCTGGCAAGCACAAAGCCCTGAGTTCAAACCCTAGAACTGCCAAAAATAAATAAATAAATAAATAAATAAATAAATAAATAAAATAAAAGAGAGGAAAAAAAAAGTTAACTTCAAATATGGAAAATATTGACAGTATCATCCAAACAAATAGTTCATTGGGGTAAGAGGAAGGATCTCACTTTTTAAAGGTATTAGAGAGTTCTGAGACCAAAATCTTTTCAAAATAGGTAACATTGAAGGCAGGAGTCATTTCTGAGTTCATAAAATTCTCACTTAACTGCATGTATATCATTTAGAATTCTGTCTCTTGTGGGTGCGCTTAACTCTCGAAACTAATACGGATGTAAGTTTATCAACTCATTAGCTTCCTTAAAGCACTTAAAACAAAAACCACTTAATTACAAGAGTTAAAAAGGAGCTTGGAAAATATATGCCTCATTTTGAAAAATAGTATTTTGTAGCCACTCTCACCTCTTGTACACGCAGGGGAATTGGTAGCAGGAGTATCTGTTACAGGTTCACCTGGATTATTATTTTTCACCACTTCACCCTAAAAAGAAAATATATCAGATGCCATCAGGGAATGAAAGTTAAAATAATAATGAAACACCACCAAGTATCTTTTAAATGGCCAAAATGGAGAACACTGACAACACCAAATGCTGCAGAGCGTGTGGACAACATCACTGCTGGTGGGAATGTAAAATGGTGCAGCTATTTTGGAAAGCAGTTCGCAATTTCCAACAAATGAGCTGTCAAGCCCTGAAAATACTTGGGACAAGTTAAATGCATGTTACTAAGCCAAAGAAGCCAGCCTGAAAAGGCACATACTATTTGATTCTAACTACGTAACATTCTGGAAAAGGCAAAACTGTGAAGAAAATAAAAAGATCAGAGGCTGGAAGGTTTGGGGGAAGAGCTAAATAGGTGGAACACGGAAGATTTTTCAGGGCAGTGAAAGGACTCTGTGTGATACTATAATGATGGTAAATGTCATTATGCATTTGTCCAAACCCATAGAATACACAACAGAGTGAACCCTAAATTATACATGTTATGTGATGACATGTCCATGGAGGTCCAACAACTGTAACAAACGTAACATTCTGGTAGGGGATACTGACAGTCAGGGAGGCTAGGGAAAGTACGTGGGAACTCTGTTCCTTTTTCTCGATTTTGCTATGAACGTAAAACTGCTCTAAAATATAAATTTCTAGCCAAAAAAAAAAAAAAAGCCAGGACTGGCAGTGTGGCTTCAAGTAGATGAGCACCTGCCTAGCAAGTGTGAGGCCTAAGTTCAAACCCCAGTACCACCAAAAATAAAAGTGGAAAACAGCATGGCAGAACCACCCTCATTACTTTTTGGCTGGTAGAGTGGCTCAAGAGGTAGAGCCCCTGCTTAGCAAGTACAAGGTCCAGAGTACAGCACCCAGTAGCACACACAAAAAAAGTCAAACTATTTTTTTTCTTACTATTTCAAACTGAATGAACTAATACATTCAATGGCAAGCTTCCCTTGCCATTCTTAAAATCGGCAAATTCATGCTAATTAGAAATTCCAACATGAAAAGTTACTTCTTTTTGCCAAATCTCATTCTTAGAAGGTAAAAACAAAAATCCACTGTCTACAACTTAGGTAGTATCCCTCTACTACTCTGCCTACATAAACACTGTTTATATAAATATCATACAGTTTTACATGTTATAGAATAATGGAATCTTCTCCATAATGATATGCAACTTTTTTTGTGTGCAAGAGAGGGTCTTTCCACGTAGCCCAAGCTGGCCTTAAATCCTCAATCCTCCTGCCTCCACACCTCTCGAGTGCTAGGATTATAAGTGTGTACCACCACACCCAGCTAATGTGCAACTTAAAAAAAAAAACAAGAAACCAAAAACTTAACATACCACAGACAACTTTCCAGGTCAGGAGGCATATACCTCCATAACTCTTAAAGCTGCAGTGCTCTTAAGTGAATGCAAAAGATGACACTTACTAGCCTACATTCCAAAGTCCAAAACTATCCATCCCAATGTCCACAAGGAACAGAAGCTTGTAATGCATGTTCCCTTTTATGAAGACAGAAGGTTGCCTCACAAAATGACTGCAAGGCATATGATAACACTGTGTGGTGCGGGGGTGGCCAGTAACACCAGAGATAAAAATAAATGGATAAATTCAGACTTGATCTCATTAAATAGACAATGAATTTTAAATAATGTTTAAAGCTCGCATGCTTCATGAATTTACTTATTTGCCATTTTATTACTTCTGAGTCCAGTAATAAAGAGTAAAACTATTAAAATACCGTCAGTGACTGGGCATTATAGCTCAGTGGGAGAGCACTTGTCTTAAAAATGCTGGGTTCAATCCCCAGCTATAAAGAAACCAAACCAAACCAAACCACCATCTGTGCTTTTAATAAATATAACTTTTATGATCACCAAGGCCAATAAGAAAATACAAATGGCTTGCCTATTCATTGGTCAAATAAGTCGTACCTATTAACAGGGCATATCCAATGCAACAGTTGTATTAAAAAATATTTAATGACAGGGAAAAGATGCCAAAAAGCTTTAAAAAATTCAGACTGTATATATTGTACATATGTAATCCCAAATTCAGAGTAACTCGTTTTCATTTCTTCTACATACGGTTTTCCTTTCAGTTGTACAATTTCCAACAACTATATCTTCTTTTATACTTAATATTTTTCTGTCACTCACAAATACTACTGGTACAATAAGGTAACAAAGATCTCTTTTACAGAAAAAAAAAAATCCCTCATATAATTCAAGATAGTAAGGCAATCAGTATGCAAATCTTCTTCCATAAACAGATGAACTTTTACTTCAAGTTCAAATACATAACACTACCATGTAATAGGTGACCTTAACAGAGGGTCAGTCTTGCTCCTATCGGTGTCCCTGCCACAGTGGCACAGCATCCTGCACTTTTGTGTGTGGTGCTCATGGAAGTCCAGTCCGCCGCTGCACATCCCAGCACAGGGCTCAGGAGGCAGCCACACATCTTCAGTCAGTGCGTCAGCCTGTACCTAAGTCTCAAAAAGCAGCAACAACCCATGGTCTTGAAGAGGACTCATTCCTTTCTCTCTCCTCTTATAATCATCTGTCTCTCTCTCTCAATCCCCATCTCTGCCTCCCAAGTGCTGAGATTTTAAAAGGGGTAAGTGAATGGGTGAGCTGGCTTATCTTTCCTCTTTCTCCTTGTTTTTATACTGGCTTGCACCCTTATCTCTCCCTTTAGTGGAAATCTGTTAGAAGTCCTGTTAGGGATTATAAAACCAACACCATTTTCCCCCCTAGAAGTCTGAACTCAAAATCTGTTTGAGGAAAATACCTAAACTTGGTAGACTAAAACTTTGCAAACAAATATTGAATACTGTGTAATTTAAAATTGTAAAGCATCAAGCTTAAAGCACCTATCACAATAACTTTTGCTGAATTTGCTGTATCATTAACAAGACCAAGATATAGATAAAAAGCCTGGAAAATTCAGAAGTTATACCATGCAGTTTTAAATATTACTATTTTCATTTTTTGTCTTTTTCTCTGTGTTGGGAAAAGTGCTGCCAGAATGAACTATCAGTGCATGCAGACTCTGCCAGGACCTTTTTCTTCTTAGGCACAATACCTATGAGTTATCAGATAAAAACAAGTACGTTAGATGATTCTTTTAAAAGGATAGTGCACAAGGTGTTACAGCCTCAGTATAAATTTTTCAAATAACAGGGAAGGTCAGCTAAGTCTGTGATGAAAGGCCTCTCCCCAGTAACAGAGACTTCAAAGCCCACAGCAAGATTTAAGACACAGTCTTTGAAGTGATATAAATGAAAAGGTGTGTATTGAAGAAAAAGCGGGGAGGGCGCACAGACAGACAAACTCAACTCACCTCTGACACAGTTGCAACTGTTTTTCTCACTTCTCGAAGAGAATTATCAGTGGTGGCAGAGCGGAGAGGTCCCCACCTGGGTTGTTTTGGTACCTCTGACATATTATTGTTCTCTGGACCCTGCAGTTCAGGAAAATCCAATCTGCTAAATTCAAATTCAGGTTTGGAAGTAGATGCGCTTTTTGCAATAATTTTGGATTTCCTGTCTGCTCGTTTATGATAGCTGTCTGTAATTACAGAATGAAAAATAGGAATAAAAATCCACATACAGCTTTATGTGTGGTACTCAATCTTAAATTTCAGAGTAGATTGCTACTGATGCAAAATTGTTGTCAAAACATCTGAACTTTGCTGGTGTTACTAAACTTTACCATGACTAGAAACATCAATCACTCTGGGTGGGCCACTAAGCAGAAAAATCCAAAATGTACTGAAAATTTTAGGTGTAATTCTAAAGCTAATGAAATAGCTACCTTAAACAAGATTGCACAACTGGGCATTTTAGTTACTCATAATATAAATTTTAGCGTTTTGTAAATTTAAAGGGATTCTTACAAATTTTCTGTATGAAATAAATTTTCCACCTTTTAGTTTGCTGGGACAAAGTAGATGAAGGCAGACAGCACAAAATTTATAATCCCTTCCTCCTTAGCTGCAGTGGATGATGAGGTAGGCTGCAGTGACATGAAGCCCCTAACTGAACTGTGAGGCCAGAATTAGTACAATTACCAGTCAAACTTTCCTTTCACAGTTCCATGTGCCAGGTGGTTTATGAGTGAAGTGAATGAAAAGAGAAAAACTTATAAACCAAGCAATATAAATTATATATGTAAATAAAGTGGTTGCCCAAGTACACAATTATAGTTTGTAAATCATTATAGAAATAGGTGAGGTCTGTAATCAAACTTCACTAGTAAAGAATTTACAGAAAAACAAAAAAAAACACATGTGACTGGGGATGTAGCTCTGTGGTAGAGCATTGCCTAGCATACACAAAGCCCTGGGGGAAAAAACAGCTTTTGTGAGGCAAGGTGGTACACACCTATAATCCCAACACTTGAAATGCAGAGGCAGGAAGATCACAAGTTGGAGGACAGCCTGGGCTACACAGTGAGATCCTGTCTTAAAAAAACAAAACACAAACAAAAGAACATGACAAAATGTACAATCAATTTTCAACCAGATTAGAACAAAAGGTTTCAAAAGCCCAGAGTAGATGTGACTTGTGACACAAGTAAAAATGGCACCCTCAAGTAGGTATGACATTCAGGTTTTGTATTATGTAGGATGGGATTTTAACCATAATCAAATGCTTCCACATATTAAGTTTCCCATCAGAGGGTCGGCTCAAGTGGTAGATCACCTGCTTACCAAGTACAAAGCCTGGAGTTAAAACCCCAGCACGGAGAGAAAAAATTTTAAAAAAGCACATGGTTGTGATTTGTTTTTATTTAAGGGCATGTTTTAAAGCTTTCAGTCATCACCTACTGCTATGCGTTTTCAAACAAGTTCGTAAGATATAAAGCAAGCCTCTTCTGAGTCAACAATGCAATATGTACCACGCTGTAAGACCCTGCCTGAGATAAAATGCTTCCAGAATCCCACAGGAAGTTTAACGTCCTCGCTCCAGGTCTCATTTCTTGGAACAGTTATGATAAACAAGCCCATAGAAACAGTACTGTTTTGGGGATAAATGGGATGGTAGACATTATACTATAGTTTAATTTTACCTGATTTTAAACTATTCTCAGTGTGAATAGAAAGATGATGTGAACCTTTAGCTGATTTTATCTCAGATGATATCATACTGTCAGCTCTCTTACTGTTAAACTTTTGCTCATCATACATTTTTCTTTCATCACAGGGTTTTTTCTATAGGAGAGATTAAAAAATAACATGAAATAAGAAAACTACTGCTACTAAAAAAAGCTAGTATTTACAACTCAATTATTTAAGAAAAGGACAGAGTAAATCATCCTTCCAAAGGTTAAATATCACAAAAGATAAGCAATTCTTAAATATCATGCAAAGAACAATTCCTTAAATTTTAAATGCTAAAACAACCAACTCAATGACACAACAAAACCACAGCATTTCCTCACCTTAAACACTTTTGTTTCTTGTGGAAGAGGGCGCATGTGCTCATTCCGGGGCTTTACCAGCTGAAACCCTCGGTAACAGTTAGGTTGGCTGTAATCATACTGGGAGGCAGTCACTGAGCAAATGTTGTGTGTAGACTCAAGTGTATAAGGAGAATAGGAGTATGGATGGAGATTTATCTCAGAAGACAGGTACTGGGGAGGAAATGCTGAAGCTCCAAAGGTTGTACCTTCAGTATAGATTTTCTGTCTAAAAATGTAAATTTTAGTTGCAGATTTCATAACACAAACCAAGGACCTGAAGTGTTTTTAACACACTAATTTAAGCTTTTTATCATACAAGATTGTTTAGATCATTCATTCTAGCATAGGAAAACCCTCATTAAAAACCAAAAGAGCCAGGTGCTGGTGGCTCACACCTGTAATCCTAGCTACTCAGGAGGCAGAGATCAGGAGGAGCTCGGTTCAAAGCAAACCTGGCAAATAGTTCACAAGACCCTATTTCGAAAAATCCCATCACAAAAAAAAGGACTGGTGGAGTGGCTCAAGCAGCAAGTGTGAGTTCAAACCCTAGTACTGCGAAAAAATAAATAAAGCCAAATGATACCTGTTTCTCTCTCTTCAAAGAAATGATACCTCTTTAAACTAATGAGCCAGTGAGCCAGAGTCCATAAGCAATGTCAACAAAGTCAGAATATGCTCCAACAGTTTTCCACTTCCTGGCTATAAGGTATATGAGAATACCTCTCTCTGAAAACCCGGCCAGAAACCATACCCTTTGCTGAGGAGCTGCCCAACCTCCTTCCCCGGCCTCGGGCTTCTGAGGATGGTCTTCTTTTGCCCTTCCCTGTTCCAAGCCCTCTACAATATACTGTACACCACACGGCAGAGGCTAGGAATAACACGCCCTACAAACAAAGATAGACATCATCTTTAAAAAATGCTATTACTTAACTTGTTCAAGTTAAGCTAAGCTAAACTAAAATATAACTTAACTCGGATATATATATATATATAGAAAAATCTCTGCTTGATTCGTTTATGGCTTGGAAATCTAACAGAGGTCAAGTGAAAGTGAAGAATCTGTTCATAAGAGCAAAGAACGACTGACAGCAAAAGAAAGAAAAAAAGAATAACCTGAGTCCAAAAACTGGACAAATTCATACACAGATGAAATTTAGCTAAGACAAAACAGAGGGACAGGTCTAGTAATGGTCTTGAGGCCATCTTTCAGGAGAACAGACCTATACTGTATTTCCTATACAGCAAGCGTAAACTCTTCAGCAAGGCAAAGCTTAGCTGTTGAATACTGTCAGGCACCCGCTAGTGCTTTACATAGCTGATTGGTTAATTTATATTCATCAGCTGGTGCTTTCCCAAATCTCCACAGTGAATTGCAAGATGCTGAAAATGTTCAACAAACTCTTGCCAACAAACAGTAGCAGTTTTGGAGAATACTATCAAACTCAGGCTTAAAGAACTGAATGCTAATTCTGTTTCTGGAAAACCCTGAATAATACACCACTAAAGAGCAATTCTAGCACATAAAGGTAGGATTTCAACTTTTGTCAACAATCACACCTTTCTGGGGCTGGTGGAAGGCTAGTAGATCGCCTGCCTAGCAAGCATGAGGCCCTAAGTTCAAACCTCAGTGCCACGCAAAATAATAAATTACACCTTTTGATATTTCTTTTTTTCCTTTGGCAGAACTGGGGTTGAACTCAGAGCCTGACGCCTGCTAGGCAGGGGCTCTACCACTTGAGCCACTCCGCCAGCCCTTTTATGTTGAGTATTTTTGAGACAGGGTCTCACAAACTATTTGCCTGGGCTGGCTTCAAACCTCAATTCTTCTGATCTCTGCTTCCTGAGTAGCTAAGATTACAGTTATGAGCCACTGACACCTGGCTTGATACTTTTTAAGTACACCAGGCAACTCAATGATTTTATTACTTATTCTAGCGTTCACTATGGAATTTAAATGTAGTAAAAAGTCTTCATAATTGCATCACACAAGACAGAAAAACGAAAAGAGGAAACACACATATGAAAGCATAGGACCATAAAGCACAGGATCCTATTTTTTTCTTGCAGTACCAGGGATTGAACCCAGAGCCTTGAACTTGAGCTACATATGCCCCCAGCCATTTTGTTTTTGAGATAAGGACTAACTCTGCTGGGGCTGGCCTCCAACTTTTTTTTTTTTTTAATCAATTTTTCTACTTTTATTTATTTTTTTCTTTTATTATTCATATGTGCATACAAGGCTTGGGTCATTTCTCCCCTCTGCCCTCCCTTACCACCCACTCCACCCCCTCCCTCTTCCCCCCCACCCCCTCAATACCCAGCAGAAACTATTTTGCCCTTATTTCTAATTTTGTGGTAGAGAGAGTATAAGCAATAATAGGAAGGAACAAGGGTTTTTGCTGGTTGAGATAAGGATAGCTATACAGGGAGTTGACTCACATTGATTTCCTGTGCGTGGGTGTTACCTTCTAGGTTAATTCTTTTTGATCTAACCTTTTCTCTAGTTCCTGGTCCCCTTTTCCTATTGGCCTCATTGCTTTAAGGTATCTGCTTTAGTTTCTCTGCGTTAAGGGCAACAAATGCTAGCTAGTTTTTTAGGTGTCTTACCTATCCTCACCCCTCCCTTCTGTGCTCTCGCTTTTATCATGTGCTCAAAGTCCAATCCTCTTGTTGTGTTTGCCCTTGATCTAATGTCCACATATGAGGGAGAACATAAGATTTTTGGTCTTTTGGGCCAGGCTAACCTCACTCAGAATGATGTTCTCCAATTCCATCCATTTACCAGCGAATGATAACATTTCGTTCTTCTTCATGGCTGCATAAAATTCCACTGTGTATAGATACCACATTTTCTTAATCCATTCGTCACTGGTGGGGCTTCTTGGCTATTTCCATAACTTAGCTATTGTGAATAGTGGCCTCCAACTTTCAATCTCCTGCCTCCATCTCCCAATTAGCTGGATTACAGGCATGTACCATCATACTCAGGATTCTCATACAAGCACTAAAGCTGATACAGACCTTAAAAATATATCTACAAATAAATCTACACAATTAGGTGAAAAGCAACACTTATTTTTCTAAATTTAGTTAAATGTAGGAACCATTTTTCAAATACTCAAAAGGATGAGTCTTAGAAAATTTAAAGGAAAACAAACCTTTCAACTCATATTTAGAAGAACTTAAAACCAAAATGTAAGCCAGGTGCAGTGGCACCTGTCTGTAACCCCACCACTTGGGGGAATGGAGCTCCCAGGAAGACTGTGAGTTCAAGCCAGCCTGGGCTACATAGCAAGACCCTGTCTCAAAAATCAAAACAATGAAAAATAAAAATATAACCAAAACTTGTAAAAACCTATCTCTATAGGACAAATACAAAGCAAAATGGCTACAAGCAAAAGCCAACAATTTCCCAAGAATTATTCACACATTAAATATGAATATTCACTATGAACCACTAGCTATGGTTCCCTGAAAATGATTTTAAAAAAATAAACAGCATGTTTGCCACTTGGCCCTTCCTTCTTGCCTTTTTGTCTTTTATTAGGTATGTGTTTTTTTGTTTGGGGGAATTTTTTGAGCAGTGGCGATCAAGCCTAAGGCCCTGCACATGGTAAGCAAGTACTCTGCCACTGAGCTATATCCCTAAGAATGTTACATATTTTTAACTTGTATGAGCAAATGAACCCTACAACTGCATTTCCTATTAAGTGCAATGTAGTCTCCATCCTTTCCTGGCCTAAAATAACAATGAGTTCAGAGAGAAAAAGGCAGTCAAAACTTCAGTGTTTAGGATACAGTGAAGATGGGCTACTGGCTCAGATTCCCCTTGGATGGACAGCATCCTCTCTTTGTCTGCAAAACCTTAATGTGGTAGCTGTGGCATATCTCATAATCTAATCACAATTAAATCACAAGGCAAGACATTTACAAGATACATACGCAGTCACTGCTGGTTCCTGCACAAATGGATAGTAGGTGGCTGCACAGCTAGGGAAGACACATGCTTCTGAGGACTCCGGCCATGCTACGTTGAGGCCAGCAAACGTGGGGACAAACGGCTTGACATCTGCTGATAGCTTGATGCTCTCCTGAGGAAAAAAGGGGGTTTGGCTACACACATTCCGAGATTGGCTCAAGTGGTACTGCACTTGCCTAGCCAGTGCAAGGCCCTGAATTCCAACGCTAGTACCACCAAAAACCCTCCCCCCAATCGCCAAAACACTGCTGCCTAGTAAAAAACAAGAATTCGTTCGCTAACGATTTGTCCCCAATACTTTATTAGAAAAAGCAGTCTTTTGACTATAAAACTGAAGAATAAGAACCAAATAAAGTGGAGGTAAAATATTATGTAACAGGTCCACAGCTGACAACGTTAAACTCGGAAAACGTGTATTTTACCTCTCAACTTTAATTAGCTGTAACCAACAACCCTAGACCTATTCAGCCAAATGTACCTGGGGAATGCTTAACTCTAACTCTCACAACATCTTGCAGGCGTTTATTTCCAATGTTTTGTAAAGAAGTAACACCAAATATTTGCTTTTTCCTCAGTGAACCTCGAGATCTTTTGTAGGAAAAAAATCATACTGTCTTCACGATCCCTTGGAATTTAATAATATAAAGTGATTTGTTTTGAAATGCGTAAAGACTTACTTTCACTACAAACTTTGTACCCACGGCAGTCAATTAGTCTAAAGTTAATCTATGTGGTGGCCAGGGCTCCATCTAGCGGTTACGCTGAAGGTGTAGGGCGGAGTGCGGTCTAAGAAAACCCAGAGTGCCTTAAAAACCAGCAGCCCCTTGCCAGGGCGCGGAAGTCCCCACTCCTGATGCCGGGTCGCCGGCCTCTGTGGCATCACACACTACCCGTGGGCGGGACCCGGGAAACCCGACCGCAGTCCCGGGCGGGCTCGCAGCCACTCGCTGGGTCGCCGTCCTCAGCTCCAGCGCACACCCTCGGGACCAGCCCCACCGCCAGACTGAGATTCTGAGGCGAGCAAGACCAGCGGGCTGAGGCCTCCGAGAGCGCGCGTACCGGACCCGGTGGCCCTTACCTCACCTATGGGCTCCTGCGGCCCCTCCGACGCCATGGCGGCGGCCCGGAGGAGCCTACGCCGGGGAGGCCAACTGCCCGGCCCGCCCGACCAACGACTCGGCGTTTCCGCCTTCCGGGCGGAGCCGGGAAGTGCGTCACCTAAGCGCGACAGTATGTCCCCCTTCTTCCGGCCGGAAGCTAGCAACTCCGGGCATGCGCGGGCCGCACGTGGTGTTACTAGGCGCGGGGTCTTGGTTGTTTCTATCAGGGTAGCGATTGCTGGTAACACGGTATGAAGCTGTGGTTTACTGTGGCCCCTGGCCTCAGGAGTCTGGCATTAGATAGGGTAAGAGGACTTCCTTGTGTAAGGTGACCCTTGAGCAGCCATCTGGAGAGAAGGGCTTTTGTAAGCAGACTTTGGGAAGCCCTGAGGTGACCTCCCCATCCTAAGACTGCATTTCCCTATGTTTCCCATAAGGTTGGCGAAGGTAGTAACTGCACACCTGCAAGTCCTACTGACCTGGAAAGCCCACGAGTCTATTGGCATTCTAAACTTATGAAAACTTCCAGCAATTTGGAATTTCAAAATTGCTCTTTCAATGTGCTAGGGCAAGTTAAGATGTAGAAAAATGATTTTCGCAGGTGGAAAAACCCTCTACACAAAGACAACACATGTGTTAGAAGTCGGTAAGGGGTGCGGAGAACAGGAAGTTGACAGAACCCTAGAGTGAATTTGAAAAATGTAGACCACTCAGAGGCTTGAATGGCGCATGTGGGTTTCGGGAAAATGAGTTGCTGCAGCGCGGGACCTTTGACAAATAGGAGTAAATTGAGGCAAACTGTAGGTTTCTTCTCTCCCTTGCAGACTTGACTACCAGGTTTTTATTTCAAGTAAGAAATAATTCCTGTTCAGGCTTCTGACCAGGTGGGTTCCACGGGTTTACTGCTACCTGCCCGAAAACACTCAAACCTGGGGTCTGATAGGAACCTGCTGGAGACAGAAGAGCAGCTGTGGCTCCTCCCTCAGGTAGTAGTTATGCTCACTAAGTGTAAAGGCACCTTTTCTCAACACAGAAGGGTCTTCCATTTTCTGGCCAGTCCAGCATTAAAGATTAAGATGTCTCTGCATTTAATTCTAAAATACCTAACAGTGAAAAAGGCACCCTACACGAATGCAAAATAACAAGGCATGAAGGTGTTTGTGCTTCTGAATTTTTAAAAATGCTGGTATTTTATAGGAAACATTATCTCCATTTCGCACATGGAGGAAATGATAAAAACAGGGTAAAGTGGTTTCTCCCCAAAACCACTGGTACTTAGTGGCAGTTTGAAGATAAGTGGAAGCAACCAGAATATTAAGTTGGGCTTTTCTGGTCATTTGAAGACTGTAGACAGTTCTTTAAACATTAAAAGCTGTAAAACCTACTTTGCCTCTAGTTTAAGATATATCCCTTATCATAAGTGAATTTAACTGGTACCCCCCCATCATACCAAGTTATTTTTAAAATTAGGATACATTAACAGTACAAGGGGATTTCACTGTGAAATGATGTGTATGTAGAGTGTACTCTGAACAAGTTCCCCTTTCCTCTATTCCCTTAACCTACACTTTTTCAAGCAGTATTTATACCAAGCTATTTTAAATGCATGTAACATTTCTTTCAAGTTTATTTTCTCAAGGCTAAAATTATAAAATTGAAAATCAGTTACAAATTAACTGTAAGAAAATATCAGTAACAGTGGTAAATGCAACATACAAACTTTATTTAACAAAAGTAACAGGTAAAGTCAAACAGGTACTTATATTAAAAGAAAAACTGTCTAGAAGAAATTAACACCTTACAATAACCTACTTGCAGTTGCATTTAACTGAGCTCTGTTGCTGTGAAGAATACAGCTCATGCACAGGTTTGGATGAATGATTTGTACATTTTTCAAGTATTCACTGAATACTACACCTTATATACACATATACATTAAATTTGAAAAAGATTTAATTGACGATTCCAGACATTTCATTTTTGTTGTTCCTTTGGAAGAGGTCGTCTAAAGAGAAGAATATGTGGTTCTGTGGAAAGAAAATGTTTATCATTTAATAATGATTATAAAATGGCCAAATTTAACTTTTAACAAAACTCAAAAGAATTTATTTGAACCAAAATACAATAAATCGAGTAAACAGAATATGAAGATGGCTTTCATTCTACCTCATTCAGTATCTGTGGTATGTATTCAAATTTGTTCGAAACATAAATTCTGTAAGTTAATTTGTTGATAATCCCAATGTAGAATATAACCCTACAAAGCATTAGTATAGTTTACTATTTAAGTCTGGAAAAACTTTTGGTTAATACCATATAATAGCACAAGGCACTCAGATATGCATAATGCAGGCAGCATTTCAGTTCATATGCTATGTTATTTAACCTTAATATGGCAGATAACATCTTGCCCTTTTAAGAGTTAAAGGAAAAGACAAATCATTTCTAACTGCATCAATATTATATACACAGGACTTAACACTTAGCTTTAAGAACTGACAATTTTTAAAGCAGTAGCTAAGACTATACTTTTGGGTATCATGTCTATAGTGTATTAAAGCAGCGGAACCTCTATTTTGTTTTTGTGTTAACTGGCATTTGCACTCAGGGCCTCATGATTATTGACTTAACTTGCAGGTGAACCAATGTATTACTTTTATTCCTGTGGTATCTTATTCACTATAAAATAGAAACTCCAGGGAGTTAAGGAACCAGTCATTTAAAAAAACTATTGTAACTTATTAGTTTACTTTGCGATATCCTTGAATGTCCATGTACCAAAAAAAAGTTTACATTCATAACTTTTAGTTCAGTTAACACCTTATAGCCAAACTTACTTACCTGGCTCATGAATCATGTAATGAACCCAGCCCAGACTCTGCTGGACACCAAGTCTCCTCCACTCCTCTTCAGACATCAGATGAGTTTTGGGTACTTGTTTAGAAAGTTCTCTGGGTAACATGACATGCCTGTCAAAAGACATAGCCAAGTATTAGCACTCTGTTCTCTCTGACAATGATCACTTTATATGTGTGCCTCTAAGATACCTACAATTTTAAGATTTTGTCCTCAAAACAATCTAAATTCTTTAAAGTAACTCTATATTACCATATTATAGGTATCAATCTTTAGTACTCTTTATTTGTATTCAAGTTAAGGAGCCAAGAAGAATGTGCTATCCAGAAGCAGAAGGCATTTAGGGTTAATCCCCCACACCCAACAGAATGCTTGCTACTCAATCTTAATTTTCTCTAGGAATAGAAGCCTAAAATGTAAGTTGGGCACCTGATCACACATCCCAGCTTCTTCTGCAGCTAGATTTGGTCCTTTGACCAAATTTGGACAACAGGGCATAGCCAGAATATTGCAAATCATGAGAAGTGTCTTCAGTGAGAAAGAACATGCCCAATACTTTCCTTTTTCTTCTTTCTGTTGTAGACTAATGTGATCAGGCAGCTACAACAGCAATCTAAGACCACAGTAGCAACACAAAATGGAGTTGCAACTACACTAAGGAGAATGATCCCTGATCCTAGAGTCATCCCAGCCTTGGACAATTAAGATACAGTTAACTTGTGCTTCCTGTTACTCAACACTAGATTATGGAGTAGAGACAAATTCTTATAAATTATTGCTTTATACTTCAGTTCCTTTGTTTGAAATTAAAAACAAAAATACTAACTGCAAATACGTGTCTGCAGCTAAATAAACCTTCAGTTTTCCAATAAGTTACCAGCCAATATCCAAAACTTTATTCACCTTAAGCAGGCAAGAATAAGTTTTTAACATTAAAAAAAAAAAAAAAAAGAACATGAACAATTGTAACTTTATGTGAAATTTTATTTTTGTGGGATTGGGGCTTGAACTCAGGGCCTCACTTCCTAGGCAGTCGCTCTACCACCTGAGCCATGCCACCAGCCCACTCTGTTTAAAAAAAAAAAAAAAAAAAAAAAATCCCCCCAAGCACTGAATTATAAGATCTTTATAAAAGTCCTAATTCTCAGCCCCAGTTTTTAAACCACTCACAGCAGTATTAATATCATACAGAGTCACCTATAACACCAATTTTTTGACCAACAAGTATATGATCCTGTGAGTCAGCTGACTGGGTGGTTAAGTACAAATTGATCACACTTTCTGGCACATGTGCAAACTGAACCCTTAACTCAATTTAAACACCAAGTTGTCATAAATTTTAAGCTTGGTTAGTTAAGTACCAATTTTTTATTATTGCAGGCAAAGTGAGCTTCAGAACAATTTTATGTAGAAAAAGAAAGTGTGCTTACTACCATAGTCCATAGAATTTTCAACAATTCTGGTGAACTCTGTCTGAGGCCTCTCAATAGTGTACCAAGTACCACACTCATTCTCCCAATGCTGCTTAGCATCTTTTTTTGTTTGAAGATAGGGTCTACTATGTAGCCCAGGCTAGTTTTGAAGTCACAATCCTCCTACCTCTGCCTGGGATTACAGGTGTGCAGCACACCTGGCTCTAACATCCAACTTCTAAGGCTTTTTAATCTTCTACGTCTCAAAGAGAAATGTGATGCTTTTTTACATTTGCTTTCAGAGCATCTACACTGATGCACAAACAAGACATTTAGATAGAAGTTACCACCTGTTTCTTCTCCACAAGCCATGTAAAGCGGATCTCCATCAGGGTTTGATTATAATGGAAAAAAAAAAAAACTTTAAAGCTCACAGTATTTTACTACATGGACGGTTTTCAAACTACATGCAAGAAAAATTATTAGCCGGAGGCTCACGCCTGTAATACTAGCTACTCAGGAGGCACATATCAGGATTGTGGCAAATAGTTCGAGACACTATCTCAAAAACTCAAGTACTCCCCCGCCCCCCCCCAAAGTATCTCTGGAGATTATCCTCTTTCATAAAGGTGAGTGGCTTGGTCAATTAAGACTAGCTCCTGCCCAACATGGTGGGGCACACCTGTAATCCCAGCATGAGGACTGCAAATTTGAGACTAGCCTGGGCAATTCAGTGAAACCTTGTTTCAAAATAAAAAGGACTTGGGGGGGGGCGGGGGGGAATGAAGGGGATGAAGCCCAGTAGTGGAGCACTTGCCACTTAGGTAAGAATAAATCACTTCAGATATGCCAGTAGTTTCTTGTACACATGACCACACATAACTTAGTAAAGGAGGGTCCGTGCCTATCATAGGATTCATGCTGAGCATATTAAAAGTGAGTAATGAGACTACCAGCAGGTCTGATTTTAACGTTATGCCCAATAAACCCTTATCTTAAAAAGCTGGATCCACACGGTTTCAAACTGCAGAAAGCTATTACAGTTTACGTTCTGTACATTACTGGATATCTCCAGCTGGGATCTTTGTTCCCATCACATCATTGAAGATTACGCTAACATAGTACAAGATTGGAACTGTTTATTTATATAAAGACAAAATTTATTTAAAATGTATAGCCAGAGAAACATACGAGGCTTTCGTAGCTAGAAATGCAAACAGTGCAACCATTACTGACTCCTAAGACGGCCTGGAGAAACTCAGCTCCCTATGAAGACCTCCATACTGGGGGGGTGGAGAGTAAAGGCGGAGGCCACCCACTCTTAACGTCCTTTCTTCCTCAAACGGCATTCTTGCAAATCTATCCTAAAAGAGCAGTAAACACGATCACTACCCGGCCAAGGACGGCTTAGGCGCCAATCACCACTCTACATCTTGTTTCCCAGAATGCAACACTCTAGCCCCAGTAGGACAAGGGACTGGCTGAGATATTTAAGTTTTTGGAACAGAGTCTCGCTATGTAGTTTAGGCTTAGCGTCGAACTCGATCCTCCTGCCTCAGCCTCGCAAGACCTGGGACTCCAAAGTGGGCCACACTACACCCCCAAAGGCAAATTTGAAACGTCCCTCACCTCCCCCATTCCAGTATGCCCAGTTTACTAAGTTTACCCATCACTTTCTAGTAGACGGTTCAAAAGCAAATTAACCCCTCAAAGTCAAAGTTGTAGCTTCACTGACGCCCGGTTCTTGCGTCCCGGGCTCCCCGCAGAAGGTACCGGACCCGGGTGACCAGACTCCGGCGCTCTTCCGCCTAGAAACTCGCTTCTGGACCGACTTCTAACTCCACGCCCCTCCCGCCACAGGCGCAGAGACCCAGCCGGACCCGGACCCGGACCCGAGCCCGCTCTCCTCCGGACTCCTTCGCCCTCTCCGCGGGTGAACAAAGGCTCTCCAATGCGCCCCCGGCTCCGACCCCCGCCACACCCGCCCCGCCCCGCCCTACGGAGCCCTCCAGAGGCCTCTCACCGGTACTCGTAGTGCTCGTCGAAGTACTTGTCCGAGTAATAGATCTGCTTGTGCGCCATTCTACCGGTGCGCAGACGGGCAGAAAACAAAAAAAAAGAGAGAGAAAAGCGTGAAGAGTAGGCGCAGCGGGCCACACGTCCTCTCCAAGCCAGGGAAACGACTCGACTGAGACCAACGACCGCAGGCCAACGCTCTGGATTTGAATCCGACGGCCAGTTGCTGATTGGGTCGCAACGCCGTCCAATCGCCTTCCGCGCCAGCCACGACAGGGCTGGGCTAGCGGCCAGCCTATTGCTGCCTCTCTCCGCGGCATGTCAGCCAATCAGAGGCCTGTTGCCGGGTTGCCGTTAGGGAAGCGGTAGAGGGTTGGTACGGTGCGGGGGGCGGGGAATGCCTTGACGGACAGGGGCGTTGGACTAGAAGGGCGGAGCCGGGACGTTAAGGGCCACAGAGCGCGTGCGTATGGGTTTAGAAAGTTCCAGGGTGGTGGGCGGTTGGGCTTCAGACTGTAGGGAGGGGAGGTGTCGCGGGATTTGGCGAGACCCGAGGCGGGATCGGGAACGCCGCGCGCGGTGCTCTGAATGGCCGCGGTGGGTGTTGTCCTGTGTCGCGCCAGCGGTCAGTGCAGTTTAACTAGCGGTCCGAGGCAGAGAGGCGGTGGGTGTTGAGGAGTTCCCCGCGCCGCCTCGGCTCACCTTTCAGGTGTCCTTACCTGACCGAACCCGAGCTTCCGGCACTCCCCTGGCTAGAGAAGCCGGAAGCTGGACCCGGCAGTCCGGGTCTGGAAAAGGGCCGAGGCCAGGTGGCTTCTCTTAGCCGAAGTCTGCCGTCCAAAACGGGGAAGAGTAAGATGCCTGTAACCGCCCAAAATAAAACCCTAAGTCCTGGTTCGTGGGAATAAAAATGATGTTAAAAATAAAAAGTACATGTAAAATTAAGTTATTGGAAGGCCTGGCAGGATGACTGACAGCTGTAATTCCTAACTGCTTAGGAGGCGGAGATCAGGATGAAAGATGCTTGAGGCCAGTTGGGCAAAAAAGTAGCGAGACCCCGATCTCAACAAACAAGCTGCTGGTGGTAAGTGGAACTTTAATCCCAGCCACGTGGAGGCAAACGTTGGATGCTCATGTTCTGAGGCTACTACGCAAAAATGCAAGACTCTATCCAAAAGAATCACTAAAGTAAGGCTGGGGTGTAGCTTACGTGATAGAACACTTGCCTAACAAGCACAGGATTCTTGAGTTCAATCCCCCGTACAACCAAAATAAAAAGTTACTGGAAGAAAACATGGCAAGATGTAAATAGTGGACATTTTTACGCAGCAGAATTAAAACTGACTTTTAGCATTTTTCACAGCTTCCACAATGAGCATATGTCATTTTCAGTTTCAAAGGAAATGTTACTTCCAGCACAGGGCAGAAAGTAAGGTGGCCCACTGCTTCCCTCCCACGGTATTGTGCTGCCGTGACAGACAGGTGGCTGTTAGGAAACGGCTTTCTTACTGTGCTGCAGGAAGGAAGATCGGGTGCCAAGGTGGTCAATCCTAATGTGCGCCCTTTTCCCGGTTGCACAGGGCCCGCTTTTATGTCCTCTAACAAGGTGAAAGAGAAAACAAGCTTTTCTGATTGCTTACAAGTGTAAAATTCACTCTTGACACTATAGTAATGGCACCAATTACCCCCTAATGCCAGCACATGGGATGGGATCTGGGATTAGAATTTCAGCATAGGAGTATAAGGAGTAAAACTCCGTAACACATGAAATACTTCAGGCCTCTATTTAAAGATGCCTTCTGCAAAATAGTTTCTGCCTGGAAGCTAGGGGGTAGGTGGGGAGAGGGAGGGGGTGGGGAGGTTAAGGGAGGGGCAGGGGGAAGGGGGGAGAAATGACCCAAACATTGTATGCACATATGAATAAAATAATTTAAAAAAAAGATGCCTTCTGCCAGGCACAGTGATGTATACCTGTAATCCCAGCTACTCAGGAGGCAGAGAGCAGGAGGATCCCAGTTCTAAGCCAGCCTGGAGAAATAGATCTCGAGACCCTAAAGGACTGGTGGAGTGGCTTACAGAGTAGGCCCTGTTTTCAAACCCTAGTACCAAAAAGGGGGGTGGGGGGAGATCACTTCTGAAAAAGTCTTCCTTAATCACCCTCTCTACAGTTAAGTACCTTGCTTTCACCTTTATTCTGTAGTGATAGAATCCTGCCACTATTTATTGCACTTTTAGGTACAGTTTGCGCTCCCCCCACCCCCATCTGCACTCTAACCTCCATGCAGCCAATTAGAGAGCATGTCTGTTTGTTCACTCCATGCCTAGCACACAGCAGAGTCCCTTGCCCCTGATAAGCACTCAATAATAAATTTTGAAGACATGTTGGGCATAATAATGTACTGTGAGAGTAAGGATGCAAACAAACTTAAGGGAAATCAGTTACTAACTTTGGGAGAGGAGAACTTGATAATGCAAAGCTTCCTAGAGGATGTATTTGGAAGAGATATTATGGAGAAATTCAAATATAGACTAGTACAATCAACTCCCATGATGCATCAGCTTCAGTAATTAACATTTTGCCAATCAATCATCATGCTCCATCTATTCCTCCTCTCTCTCTCTCTCTCTCTCTCTTAACAAGAGTATCTTGCTGGCCTTGAACTCATGATCCTCCTGCTGAGTACTCGAATACAGGTACACACCACCATGCCCAGCTTCAAAAAGATTAAAAAAAAAAATTTAGCCACCAGCCATTACATTGAGAATTCCTTAGTATTCCAATAACTGGCTTAGATTCAGATTTTTCTGATTACCTCACAAATACTTTTTTACAGTGGGTTTGAATCTGCATCCAAACTTCAGCTTACACCTTGCATTTGGTTTTTATCTCTTAATAGTCTAATTGTTTTTTCTGGAGGGTGTGGTACTGGGGTTTGAACTCAGGGCCTTGAGTTTGCTAGGCAGGTGCTCTACTGCTTGAGTGACCCGCCCCACAGCCCTTTATGCTTTGGCTATTTTTGAGATAGGGTCTCCTGGTTTTTGCCCAGGCCAGCCTGAATTAATTGCAGTCCTACTTCTTACTCACCTATAGCTGGGATGACAGGCACACACCACTATGCCCAGCTTTTTTGTTGAGATGGGGGTCTCACTACCCACTCCTCAGGCTGACTTTGAATCTTAATCCTTCCAATTTCTGCCTCCCTAGTAGCTGGGTACAGGTATAAGCCACTGCACCTGGCCTCTTGCAGTCTTTAATCCACACAAAAACACACATGCCATCTTTAAAAATACCTGTTTATTAAAGAAACCCAGGATATTTATGCCTGTGAAATATTCCACTGCCTGGATTTGTGCGATTTTATTTTCATGGTATAATTTACTTTGTTTTTCTGTAACTTGTATTTCTTAAAATCTGGTACCTAGATCTAAATTAAAAAAAAAAATCCATGCAGCTAGAAAGTAGTAGACTCACACTGGAGCCCTAGCTGTCTGCCTCCAGAGTTAGGGCTTGTCTCCCCCTCATCCTCCACTGGCATGCTAGGCACGTGTTCAACCACTGAGCTACATCCCCAAACCAGAGTGAGACCTTTTAACTGCTACTCTTTACTGCCTCTTAGAATTCCACTGGTCAAAAGCCAGGAGACTGAAGGGCCTTACCAATAGAGGGCTTGGCATTTGTGAAGGTCTAAGGAAACATGGAAGACCCAGAGAAGACTGCAGGTGTTTTCTTGGAATGCAGTGATCGTGAGGAGGAAGGTGGTGGGAAGTACGTCTGGGGGAATGGATGTGGCAGGCAGACAATGGCCCCAATGATGTCTACATCCTAATCCCTGCAGCCTATGGATACACTATGCAGTGAAAGATACAATGCAGGTTTGATTAAGGAGTTTGAGATGGGAAGATAATCCTGGATTAGGGCCACTGTGATCACAAGGTTCTTTTTGGGAGGGAGATGATAGGGTCAGAGAAAGTACTGTGACACAAGCAAATGTCAGTTATGTGATCCCATACTAAAAGTTGCAGGTGGCCGTTGGAAGTTGGAAAAAGCAGGGAACAGATTCTAGAAGAAAGTCCTGCTGTCACCTTGATTTTAGCCCTACTAAGACCTGCTTTCTAGAACTGTAATGTAATAAATTTGTGTCATTTTAAGTCACTGAATTTGTGGTAGTTTGTTAAAATAGCAATAGGAAACTAAGGTAGAAGATGGGGCCAGCCTAAGGGATTCTTGGACTCCTAGTTTTGATCAAAGTGGAGGCATCTTTTGTTCTTAGTCAGGTGAGTGGCACTAACATCAGATGGGGTAGGGTAACTGGGAAATGTGGAGGATGGACAGGAAGGAACCAGAAGGGATCCCTGTTAGGAGGCATGGCAGTCAATAGGATGCTTGTTATAATGAGGTCTCCTCCATGATAGCAGGGTTGATTACAGAGGATGATGAAAATGTGAAGGACAGACCCAGCAGGACTTAGTTTTGTTTTTTGTTTGTTTGTTGTTGTTGTTGTTGTTGTGCTGGAGACTGAGCCCAGAGCCTTATGCATGCTAGGCAAGCACTCTACCACTGAGTAAGATCACCAGCCCCTCTGCTCCTTGCTTAGAAGTGGGCCTTACAGAAGTTCAGGTTTTGACTGGTGTTTACTTGGTGAAAAAATACTGGTCCTTCCTAAACTAAGATTAGAGCATGCCCAAGTAATCACATCTTTGCCTTACATCTGGAATGTCTCTACCCCATCAGCCTACCGTCAGTGCGGTCACAAAGAGGCCAAAGACCAGCCCCAGTTGATCCCTAGAGAGTCACTCAGCAAACACTGAGCATTGTGCAAGGCAATGTGCTAGGAGAGCCTTACACCTGAGAATAACACTGATTCTGCTGCTCCTAATAATACTATCAAGAAGGCACTGTAGTTTTTATTAGCATATATGAATCGTACAAAGGAGTTTCACTGTGATATTCCATACATATGTATAATGAACCTCGATTAAATACACCCCCCACTATTACTCCCTTATTTCTCCCCCTTCTTTTCTTTACAGTTTTAAGGTTTCTTTATGCTATTTTTATAAATGCAAATAATGTACTTCAAGCATATTCACCACCCCATCACCCTTTCCTTCCAATCTCCCTTTTACATTCATGTAATAGTAGTAGTAGTAGTATT